ATTTCACAATATATAACTCGTTGTGTGACTCCAATAAAATATTAGAAGACCAGGAGAGGAGTATACTTATCGTGTGAAAGGGAATGTCGTTCAAACTATTTACTCCCTGATCTCGTACCACATTTTTATTGACATTCTCTTCGTCTATATAAACATACCCAAATTAGGGACTAATACATTAAGACGTTCAACCTAAGAACATATTGAGAGAAACAAAAAAAAAAAAAGGATGCAATCCCCTTATTGTTCTTCTTCTGATGATCTCAGTGATTTGGTCGATGAGATCAATAAAGAAATTCAACTGTCCAACATTCATCTTGATCCTTACTCATTTGTCTCTCCTTCCGCTTACGACACGGCTTGGTTATCCATGATCGAAGAAGACAATAACGTCGGTGATGAGGAGCTTAAACCGATGTTCCAAGATTGTCTAGATTGGATTATGTGCAATCAAAATGCCGGGGAAGGTTTCTGGGGACACTCCGGCGGTTATACTCCGGTGGCTGATGCCGGAGAAGACGTCAACGAGGACATGTACATTCTCACTTCCACTCTTGCTTGTGTTGTAGCACTTCACAAATGGAACATTGGGTGTCTTCATCTCCACAAAGGTGATTGTCTTTGATTTCGCATTATTATTGCTCTTTGAGAAAACTTAACTCATTACGTACGCATCACATGCATGGCCTACCGTGTTTTTCACGTGCGTGTATACTCACTATAGAACATATATATATATTTATTTATTTTTGAAACTTTATAGAACATATATTTTGTGTTTTTAATTTATTCTATTCTACCGACATTTTTTTGTTTTGCTAAAACTAACGACAAGCATATTTACGGTTTGGTTTTATTCGATCGATATGTATATATCTACGGTTTGGTTTTATTCTATCGAGAAGCATATATCTACGGTTCCATGAAGTGTTTCGAAACATCTCATTATATTTTAAAAATTGATAGTTTTTCATGAGATTTCTTCCTCAAGAATCGATTCTATCCAAA